AGAATTATCCACAATAGAACTTTACATCAAAATTTGGAAATTATAGTTAAAAATTACACTACCGAAGCAATAGAAACTAACAGATCAAATTAATTTTAGAAAGATTCCAACTTTTTACTGTTAAAACCCAACATTATAGTACAAAACATTTGGTTACAAAATAATCTGTAAAGAGTTATGCTGAATGTGTTGCTTCAAGCTAGGATAAAACCAAGATAAAGGATTTGTTTGTAAGAACATATAAACAACTTTTGACTCCATAAACTATTTTCAGCTTATTTCAATAAGTTTCTTGATATAGCTTATCAAAATAAGCTATTTTAGTATATGCCAATAAGTTTCATCATTTAATTTATAATATAAGTCATCATTTTTCCCAAGAATAAACTAAAACATGTTAGTAATAAGTTAGAGAAATATGTTAAGAGACCAGTACCTCTGCACCATTATCAGACAAATAACCACCTTCTTCAGGTTTCCTTTTACTTGGTAAAACATCAAGCAAGTCTACACAGAGGGAGCGAAACAAAAGTGTTCAATCTATAATACAGAAATTAAAAATTTGAACAAAACAAACTACTCTAAGCAAAACAAGCAGTCAAGTTGATACATTATGATAAAAAGAAAGGGAAAGTAATATACTTCGATTCGATTTTACTTCAGTAGGATCTTTCTTTTCTTTTGCAACCCCAAAAACATCATGGCATAAATCCTTCATAATAGTAGAAACCTACAGAAATCATGAACAACCCATTCCAAATCATTAAACACTATTCACAAAAATAAAAAAATCATCAAGCCTTCATCATCCATTGTATGTGTATTACACTTACACTAGAAAATTCAGATTCAGATGTACCACATAGTTCAATTAGCTTAATCTTGTCCACCTTTAGCTGCATAAGGAAAAAAAGAAATAATTCATGTCAACTCTCATTACAGCTATCCAATCTAATCTCAGAATTTACAACTCCTATGCAAACACTTAGCATTCTATGAACGTCATATTTAACACTTCAAATAATTCTGAGTAAGGTACCTTGTGTTTTTTAGCACATAAATAGAAAGCAACTGCAGTGAACACAGGACGAGTGAAATCGGCACTGGAACGGCGAGAAGCAGGCAATGACGAAACAAATCGATCTTTATAACTGTACAGAACGAAAATAAAATAAAATTCAGCAACACAGAGAATTTCTCGGAGGCGGTTTATCAAACACGTGGAAGGTAACTCACAGCTTGAGACCGTCACGAACAAGAGGAATAATGCGAACGCAACCAAACTGAATGGCTAATTCCCTGACATCTAGCTTCATCCTGAAAACAGAAACACTTCAATTAAAAAGAGGAAAAAAAAAAAAGAGTGGGAAATTTGAAGGAATTGAAATAGAAGGGAAATCACTTGACGCCGAGGCCGTTATGGAGGGAATTGTAGGATCTGATGTAAGCCCTTTCAGACATTCCACTGAGCCTCACCGCAAAGGATCGATCGAAGAGAACGTTGAGCCTAGTTGCGGCAATTTCCAAGCATATGAGAGACTTTGCAACCTCGCCCTAACGAAACAAAGAATAAAGGCAGTGAATGGGAGTGTAATAAAATAGAGTGAAGTGAAAGGGAATAAAATAGGGCTTACGACTCCGATAACGGAAGAATCGAACTGAACATCGCAGAGGCGACGGAGTTCAGCGGCTTTTCGAATGAGTAGTTTGGGATCTGAGAGTAGGAGCTTCTTGGCTAACTCGGAAATGTCCATTGTTTTGATTTTTGAGTGAAAAGTGATTTCACGTTTGCATTTTGAAGGAATGGAGAAATTGAAAGAAATACATTGATTCTGATTGCCAATGAGCGGTTTTGTGGTTCATTTTTTTGAATGTTAAGGCGTTGCACTGTTCCAGCTAAAGGTTTTGTTTGGCGCCCTCTGCTGCTAAAATTTTGCCGCCCTGTGCTTCGCGCTTTTATAGCTCCACTTTTTTTTTTTTTTTTCCTCTTGATGATTACCACTCTTTTAATTATTCTATTTAATTTTAATTTGTGTTTAAAAAAAATTAAAAGAAAGTTAACTCAACTTTTAATTAATTTTAATTTTAAATTAATTTTTTTAATTTTTAAAATTCTCTTAAACTTGAACTATTATATTTTTCATCATATGTTTTATTGCATTTTTTTCCTTTTGTATTTTGTTATCATCATTATTGCATACTTATTATTTATTTATATTTTTTGAGATATTTAATAACTTTCATTCTTTTACATTATTTTTTTTCAAGTCTTAACTTTCATAAAAATAAAAGTTTTTAATTGTGTTAAACTTCAAATTTCCTCTTAAACTTGAACTATTATATTTTTTTCATAATAACGATACTGATAATTCAATTTAAAATAATCATAATAATAATAAATTTATTATATAGTTTTGAATTTTTATTTAATCTAACTAGATTTAAAAATATTTACATTAAATTTAAAAATATGCTATTTAATGGTATAATGCTTTCTGGTACAACATTACTTTTTTAATTAAAAAAAACACCTAAAATACCTTATAAAATAGATTAAAAAAAAGGGATTAAGCCAATAAATAATAAAATATAGAATGCACTGTGTATACGATCTCAGATGCACACTTATAATTCAATTTTTACAAATTAATTATTTTAAGTTTTAAAATTTTCTTTTGAATCTGGATTATTTATTTTTTAGTAGTAATGATAATAATAACTAAATTTATAATAATAATAAAATATAGCAATAAAATTTTTATATAGTTTAAAATTTTTACTATAGTTTAATTATATATTTTAATTAAAATTAAAATTTGTCTCATAAAATTGTTTAATAATAATGATAATAATAATAATAACTCATTTAGTAAGTGTATTAAAAATTCTATAATCAATTATTTTTTTATATATTATATATCAATTTTTATTTTTAAAAAATTAGTATATACTTTTTAAAATTATAAATATATTAAAATATTTTACTTTTCATTAATTATTTTTACTCTTGATTTGAAAATTTTATTAATTTACCTGAAGAGTAAAAAGAATGTTATATTAAAAACTCATGTTAAATAGGTCGTTAACTCAATAATATTTTATCACGTTACCTCTAACAATAAATAATATAAAAAGTGTGGGAATCGATGATTACATTTAAAACAATACAAATTGCACATTAACGTTAAAAGACATGCAACATGGGTTAAATCAATCAAAATCTAATTTTAATCTCATTGCATGCTCTAGATTTAGTCAAATATCACAACAACTTTGGTGATAAAAAAATAGCTTTCAAAGAGATCATTGATAGTAGTTAAAGGCAAAATATATTTCGTTATACGAAATTTAAGTCAAGTTGATCACATATGCATTGAATGAAGTTGAGGATGATACTAGCTTATTTAAGTGAACAAGAAATGCAAATTTTGTCATAGAAATCCCTCATTCCATCTATCAAAAGGTAAAAAATTAAATCCTTGTAGTTATTATTTGTTTGGATAGTATCACAAAATATCTTTTAGTAAAACTTTAAAGCTGAAAGAGAATATCCTTAATTCACATGAAGAATTTTGTTCAACATAGATGAATCAAAATTTAAATATATCATGATAAAAAATAATAAAATGGAAAACTCAATTTTACCTTATTATATGTTTAGTCATGTGCAATTTAGACCTTAATTTTTAAAATTGTGCAATGCGATACCTTATTATTTTATTTTATTTCTATACTTTAATTTATATGTAATTTTAGTTGTTATAATTTTAATTACTTATTTAGTCTCTATTTTTTTTAATTGTTCAAATTAAGTTTTTTTATTCCAAATTTCATCTAATATTTAACAAAAATATAATAGATGTATGATATATTATATAGATTAATAAAAAAAATTAAATTTATTAAATAAATAAAAAATTAATTATATAAATATAATATAATATATTTTTAATTTTTATTTAATATTTTGATTTTATAAATTTGAAGAAATTAGACATTATATATTTGTTATATTTTTATTAATTATAAAATAAAATTTTGGGGTGGAAAATTTAATTTAATTAATTAAAAAGTAAAAATAAAGAAAAAATTAAAATTACACGTCAATTAAAATAGGAGAACCTGAAGTGAAGGGCAATTAAGCCTTTTGATTTTGGTGTTACAATAAAGAAATTGCTTTCATGGGCCCAGCAACATTTTTTTATTGAGAAAAGGAAATGTGTTGTCCAAACCAACCCAAAAGATATATGAACAAATTTCTATTCCATAAACATATTCTCAAGAGGCTTTAGATCATCATCTTAACTTACGTAGAGACAAGGATTGGGATTTTCTTTTTAGAAACAATTATTTTAATTGACAAATACGACTTTGTTATAATTTTTTAATCAAACCAGGTATCTGGATTCAATTATTAAAATCATGATTTTCAAATTGATGGAAATATCAACCATTTACATGTTTATTATTGTCTACATGTTCTGAAACGAAGACATGTAATATCCTGCATAATAGTTGATTATATTATAATGGTGCGATTAGTCAAATTTGTATTATATATGAAATGATTAAGTGTAAATCCTACAAAGTTTACACGGCAAACAAAATTTAGTAAGAGGACTGCTTCGCTAAACGGAATGGTTAGAACACAACCTTCCTTTTAAGCAAGTAACTTAATTAGGACTCTCGTGTCTAAAACTGTATACAAAATCGGCATTACAAAGTGCATGCAATTCACAGTGCACGGCAACCAGGTGATGACAGTGGCCAACCCGTCAAAGTTATGTTTTGGTAAGGGCACAAATCAAAGTATTATTAAATCAAAGAGCATCAATTATTAAAAGAAGCATAAAGAATATTATCTTACTCTTCAACCTCTATGGTACTATTATCTTTCAATAAAAGAATTAATGGGATTAAATGCCGGTATTAAATATAGATCTATGGGAACAAACACTAGACATAAATTAATGCAATAAAGCTTCTTTCTCATCTTTCCACAAACAAAAGCCTGTAGTTAATTTAAGGAGCCGCAATGTTTGATGAGCCTAAGCAATTGAAGAGATGACATTCGGGGGAATGAAAAAATAAAATAAAATTGAGGAGTTAATAATCTTGAATATTTCCAAACAACCTGAAGAAACATATTGGTTGACAAATTGACATAAGACATAGTCGCTCAATAAGCTTCACCTGCCCTTACATTCTTCCCTTAGGTCAACACTCGCAACATAAACCATAAAGCAGCATGCTTCTTTTGCTCTCAAGTTGTCCATGAACAAATGGCTAGGCACAAGTGATATCTATACTTAGAAAATAAGAAATAATGAAAAAGAAGGGTGACAAAGAAAATTAAAACTCATCAACTCTATGCCTTGCCATTTGGTTTTGGTGATTGTTGGGGAAACTGATGGTGATATGGAGATGCATGAGTACCATGTGGTATTGATAGGCTCCTTTGTTGCTGCCCATTCCGGGTCAGTAATGCTCCTTGTGTTCTCCCGTTTCTAGTATTTGGACTTGCACTAAACCGGTCAGCTTGCATTGTCTGAAAATAATATGATGAACTAGCCATGTCCTTAAGGTTTGGCAAAGGCTTTAAAACTTCCACAACTTCACTCATCAAGGGTCTAGCTTTCGGATCTCGGTTAAGGCAGTGAGCAGCCAGATGAGCGGCTTTCTGAGCCCCTTTTATGGAAAAGTGACCTTCCAAGCGAGGGTCTATCAACCTGTAGAACCTTCTTCTCTCTCCTAGATGTGGTCTAGCCCACTCCACAAGGTTGTGTTCGCCATTTGGTCGGTTTTTGTCCATAGATCTTCTGCCAGTCAACATCTCAAGTAGTACCACTCCAAAACTATACACGTCACTTCTTGATGTAAGATGTCCTGCCACAAAAAATACAAATCTGATTGTGTAAGGATAAGATTAGAGAATATAGATGATGGATTACATGTAACAAGACTTGAATTAAATGTAAGTGAAAATTATTGGAATATAATAGAACAAGAAGTTTTGTATGTTACAAACATTCTGAGAATGCAACAATGGCAAGTATACCATAAACCTATCAACAGAATTGGTCATCTCAGAATGGTTGTGGACAACTCTGAAGTAAATTAGGATTTTAATTTGAAATCTGCTTCACAAGGGAAACAAATTACATCACCCAATTAAGGTCAAGAATGTTGTACCAAGAGGGGAAACGAGCCCAAAAGGAATCACATTCCGAATATTTTTGAGCAGAAATTCTTAAGACCGATGATCATCAGGTCAGAAAATATGAATTCAAAGATTAAAGAAAGCCCAAAAAATATATAAGCAGATAGCAATACCCAAGAATGATCATGCATTACTTCACTAATAAATAACAACCAATCCTTGTGAATTTGGACTTGGCATATCCAATTAACTTACCTGTCATGACATATTCTGGTGCTGCATAACCATAGGTTCCCATCACTCGAGTAGACACATGGGTTTTATCACCCTCTGGTCCATCTTTTGCAAGTCCAAAGTCTGAGAGCTTAGCATTGTAGTCCTAAATCATTAGAATAATAGAAAGATCAAAATAATGAAAACAAGGAATATGTACTCGTATAGTAACATTTGGTGCTTACTGCATCCAACAGTATATTGGAAGTTTTGAAATCCCTATATATTACTGGTCGTTCAGCTTCCTCATGAAGAAAAGCAAGACCCTTTGCAGCTCCAAGTGCTATTTTCATCCTAATGGACCATGGAAGAGGCAGGGATCCTACAGAAGATATATTTTCATACATGAGAACATAAAAAATGGATATAATCCAAAGGAAGAGTATACAGCAGAAATAAACTATCCATGGAAGAAAAAGCTGCTAAACACAACAGGAAAAAAAAACTGCGATCCATAGTAAAAAGATGGTTATTGATAGAAACATTATTAAAAGAGTGCAGATTAGTTCTAAACATTATTCTTAACTAGGTGGATCACTAGATTAAACTACATCATATAAAACAAAAGCTATCCCCAACAACTTTTTTAAACAAAAGATTTCTTTCACATCAGAAGCCCCAAACATTTTTGTCTGGCCTTGTATTGAGAGGGAACCATGCTTCACAAGAGTAACCCAACAACAGTATTCTCTATCTAATGTTAGCAAACTTTAAAGGTGGAATAATGATCCAACTATTATTGGAAAAAGAATGAGAAACTATTAAGTCAGAAAATAGAAGCTTACTCCTAAACAAGTGGTTTTCCAGGCTTCCCCGAGGCATAAATTCATACACTAGCAACCTTTGATCATCTTCAATGCAGTAACCTATAAGTTTAACAAGATTTGGATGAACTAGATCACCAAGAAAATTGACTTCAGCCTGCCACATGAACCAAACAAGGAATTAAAACTTGATCGAGTTCAGCATATAATAATATTCAAAGAAAAGAGACATGTTTAAGAATGTAAAAAATAAAAATAAAAATAAATTCAAAGGTTTGAAACTCATATTCGTGAAAATACAAACCAGCCACTCTTTATGACCCTGAAGCCCATCATGGTTGAGGGTTTTTACGGCAACAGTAAGCCCTGTGCCAGGTTTCACCGGAGCAGTTCCATTTTCTTCAATCCACCCCTTGAACACACAACCAAACCCACCTTCACCAAGAAGACTTTCAGGGCGAAAATTTCTGGTTGCCAACTTAAGATCATTGAAAGTAAATTTTCGCAGCCTGGAAGCGACTTTAAGCTCCTCTTCAAGTTTGGAAGTGGATGAATTGCTTTCAGCATTACTAGTGGTTGTCGAAGAGACTACTGGGACTGTTGGTTGATCTCGACTTGTATCATTAGTCGATTTACTTTCGGCTAATGTAGTGAGAAGCCAAAACCCATCAAAGAGAGGGAACAAGTAATTAGAAGAAGCAATAAGATAGCATCAAGCAGTAGCAGGCTCAGACAAAGTGGTGTTTTAATACCACTTCTACAGGAGTTGATAAATGTAGAAACCAAAAAATGAAATGCAGAAAACCAGTGAAAGATCCAACAAATGAATTGTATGTATTAGATTCATATTGCTGCAAAGTGGGCAAAAATCACAGCCGTGTTATATACATATGGAAATAAGGTAATAGACCTTGACAGTTACTTTACTAAGTCATGAAAACAATAGTCAAATTTATGAAAACATCCCCAACTAATGACAAGAACGAATTCCTAGACAACAGTTCGGGGAGGGGCAAGGCGCAAGAGAAGGAACCACGATTGCCATTTCAAGGTTCAAACTTCAAAATTCTTAGTAAAGCATTGTTGGTATTTTAGAAACACCCGGTTTAGAATACATTTCATATAGAGTTTTGAATAATCAGAAACAATGAGAAACTCAAATTGGTGCCACCCTGAGTCCGAGCAACACATATGCACGATAGAAACAAATCATTAAAAAAATGCGTAAAGATGGAACGTACAAGCACATCATTAGAACAAAAACTCTTCCCGGGAAATAGAGGTTACCATAATTAGTGCTGGTGCCACTGACTGAGCTATCAACCTTGGATCTTGAAGAAATGCAGCTCCCAATGAACCTCAACCTAAACCAACACCCAGTCTCTTCCTCTTCCACTACCCCATCCTCTTTCTTCTTCTTCTTTCTCCCCTTTGATTTACACACATCCAAAGACTCCACCACCTTACCATTCTCAGCACCAAACCCCATCTCTAGCAAGCCCTAAAGAATCAAACGCACAAATCATCAAAACCAAACCACCCCACAATCCCCCACCACCAAATCACCCACAACAAGCCCAGACCCAGAAGGCCAATTCCCAAATAAAACCTAAAAATCACAACTTTACTACTCAAAACTCTTCATAACCACAAAACCCAAAATACCCAGAAATTTAAACTGACAAAAAAAGGGGCAGATCACACGAACAGATCAAAACCCCAAATGAAAAAAGAAAAGAACCCTAGATTGATCAGCTTGTGGGGAAACTGAAGAGAGTAATGCCAAACCTTTACCCAAAAAGAACATGGCAACTTAGCTCAACTGAGAAAGCTATGCTCAGAGGCAGACACATACCCAGACATCAATCTCAGAGATGGGGTTGCGTCCTCCTCCTCCTAAGTCCTATGATGCTATGCAAGCTGACCCAGTACAACTCCGAAACCAATGCTGAAATGGAAACGAAGAAAAAAAAAATTGTGAAAAATTAAAAATCAGATAATTGTTGGTATCTAAATAAAATGAACTCTAAAATATTATGGATTCTCTTTCTCTTCTCTCTCATTCTTTAATATGTAATTTTTAAAAAATGAAAAATGCGTTTTTTTAATATTTTTATTGTTGTTGTTTAAATGAAACATGGAAGAGCGGAAAAGGGGGCGTGAGTGTGTAGGGTAGGTGCCCGAAGAAGGGGGGGCGGGGTAGGAGTTTTATATGCCCGTGCTGACCGGGGCTGTGTGGGAGTGTGACCGAAGAGTGAGTGGGCCGTTTGGGCAGCCGGAGGACTGGAAAGTTGGGCAGGAGAGAGAAAGAAAAGGTAGGACCCATCATTGGATGGTGACGTGTCTGCCCTCGGCGGGCGTAGCTTAGGCGAGGCCAAGTCGCGCGTCAGGTTGATCTCATTCTTGGCATATTAGGATTGGCAATATCATATGATATGAAATCATGAATGTAATGTAAATGCATTATTATTATTATTATTTAGTAACTCTCTAGTTTAAATATTTAATATATAAAATAATATGTTTTGATTATTCTAATATTTAAATTGTACAATTTTTATTTTATAAAATTTTACTTATTTTAATTTTTTATTATATTTTCAATTTATATTAAGAATTAAAATGAATAATATCATGTAAAAAAATAAAATTGAAGTGAAAGCTGTAAAAAATTAAGGATTTATTATTAACACATTAAGATTTAAAATAAAAAATTTACTTAATCATTATTATTGTTATAATTCACTTTATTTGTTTAGACTCACTCGACTAAAATTAGGATATTTAGCTTATCATGATTATACTTCTGGGATGGTTGCATGAAAATAAGCATTTCTTTTTGTTTTAAAATGTATTAATATAGATGTCATTATGTTTCAATAATGAACAAGATCAAATCAATTACCTTATCATGATTAAAATTTTTGGAATGAAGAAAGCTTTAGCACGTGGATAAGAGAGGAAAGCTATGTCATGGAGAGTTGAATTGCTGATGAATATCACTTGCTCAGTCTCAAAGATCGATCATCTTAAAATGATGACATTTTTTTTATTTGGTAAAAAGTCACTGAATTTAATTAGTTAGCTAGGGTTTGATAAGACGGTGAACCAAATACAGACGTATATAAACAAAGTGTGACACGTTTTTAACAAGTATAATAACACAAATTGGTATCCAATTAGCAGTAACTAGGTAGGTTTATGTTACATTTCACGTTATTAAATTATTAAAGTATCACTTAACAGTTCTTGAGGTTCTATTGATATTTGAAAATTAAGTCGCGTCGGCGATTATTGTTAAAGTTAATTAATTTTTCTGTTTTTGTTCATTAGGTCAATTATCATAGCCAGTCCATTATCCATTATTATATGTATAATAATATTTAAAGTTATTTCTCATAGTCATACCTAATATCCATATAATGATTACGTAGTTTAACAGATCTGATGTATATTATTCTTGGTATCCAATTATAAACTCGAAAGGTACTAGCAGTTCTTACTTCGTTAAGACAAATTTACGAGCCACTAATCTCAAGCAAAAAAACTATAGATACAATGTCCCTTCAATCAACATATTAGACACATCAACCGTTGATTTGGTCAAAATATGGACATCAAAATTAAAAAGAAAAAGGATTAGGTTTGTTAATTAAAAAATGATGCTAATTAAAGCGCAAGATATAGCTTAATCCCCAAATGCAAATCTCGGCATCATTCATGCTGAGCAGCACCACTTTTTACCAGAATGAAATTGTCACAAGCAATCTAAGTTGAACTATTCCTAAAAAAGTAGAAAGTTATTAATATCACAATTATTGGGGCAGCGAGGGAGGGAAAATTTTTCCTTTGAAACTTGAAAGAGAAAACGAAAATAAAGAAAAAAGAAGAAATAATAATAAAAAAAAAGATTATTACTTTTGATGGCGAAAAAGGAGGAAAATTCCATACTTTTTTTTTCGTACTTTTCTTCCTTTCACCCACCATTTTAGCATTGGAAACAGAACAATAACAAACTCATTTTTGTGCTTTTACCCATTCTCCCTCGGAGTTTTAGAAAATGAAGCAGCGCACAGGGCTAGCTACACGTTGCTTTCACATTCTAATACCTAAATATTGTTTCAAATGTAGGTGATAACTGGCAAGCATATATGTACTTATATGCATATATGTACTTTAACAGGAAAATTAGTGAGTATATATGTGACAGCTGACAACTAAGGTTGATTAGATTACTTGCTCATACAAGAGATTACCTTTGACTTTAAGATCAGCACCCTTCCGTGCTTCTCACATGTTCCTAAACAAGGACAATTTTTTATCCTATTTTTATGAGTTATGCAATTTGATGAATTCTTTCAACGATGTATAAAAAAAATAAAAATTAAAAGTATATGTTCTTATTTTATTAATCTTAATCTTTAAAGTTAATTTTAAGCATTTAAAGATAGTATTTTTATTAAAAAATAACATTTATTTAGTTTTATGTTATTTATATATAATAAGTACCCATCACCCAGGAAGCTGCATTTTTACATTGTTGTGATCTAAAACAACTCATTACGTCAATAATTAATATTGTGCTTATCTATGGCCTAACGTCAGATTTTGTACCTTCTACTCTCTCACATCTTAAATTTCACTACGTGATGTTAAGATAAATATTTTAATTCAGTACTAATATCATCAGAATTCATGGAAAAAATTTAATTATAAAATTTATTTAAAATTAAATAAAATAATTTATTAGAATTATAAGTTATTTTTATAAAATTTATATAAACTTTTAAATATTTCATAAAACATTTATTTTTTTTATTTTTTATTTTTTATTTTTTGCATAGCTCTCCAATCTCGATTTTCTATAGCTGGATTCTCCAGAATCACAAAAATGTGATTTCAACTCAGCATACTTTCACATGCAATGTTGTTAAGAGTAAAACATTAAGAATTATTGTGATTAGAATTTTTTTTACCTTGTATCAAGATTTTAGATAACAACATTCACAACATGTATAGAAAAAGCTAAAACTTTTTCTTATTATAGTTATTGAGAATAATACGTATAATATTGGTAATAGAATACTAACGATTATACTCATATAAGATCACATTTCAAAACATATAAATATATTATAAAATTAATTATAGAGTTACCTCGTTACAATTATTGAAATAGTCAAACTTACATCTCTGTATACTAATACGAATAATCTCACTATAAGATTGTATGTTCCTTTCATGAAATTAAAACTATAATAACTGTGATTAGTTCCTAATTTTATTCTTTACGATTCTAGTCAAATTATGTAATAATTCTATTCTAACTAAAATTTGACTTTTTTTTTTTTTTGAAATTCTATCAATTCTTATAATATTTAGTTATATTTATATTTAATATTATAAATAGTAAATGTCTTCTAACACATCACTGTTATTCAAATACAAAGAGTGTTATTAAATCAATATAACCTATCTATATGATAATATATAATATATAATTAATCACTTTGTTCTAATTAAACAGAAGATATTTTATGGTATAAGTCAATCAATAAATCTATAAATATTATTTCTATTACATATGAAAGATAAATCTTATTTTAATCACTCAAATTTTATCTTATAATTTATTTTATTTCTAATCTCAAACTTCATGATCACCTTATTATATGTAATGTTTGATGAGATTAAAACATAAAAATTCTAATTTAAGAACAATAATAACTTAGGTTAAAGGACTACTTATATTATTATCACATTAAGAATTGTTTATGACACTTATGCAACGATCTATGTAATGTTCACATGGTGAATTAGTCTAATACATTATTACTCTTATATATATTTGTATAAGGATTTGATATATCATATCTAAGATTTGTGAAATTTAGTCATTAATCTATTTTCACATTACTCTCAACATATGATATCTTAATATTTATATTTGACTAGGGAGATTTTAAGAATAACACTAAGTAAAATCTCACAATCAAGTTACTTATTTGATATTATACAAAATTGTAATAATTTTTTTTTTAAAAAATAATTGTTATTGTTAACTAAGAATTGTCAAGTGATCAAAAAATAAACAATGTTCTATGTCATACCTACCACATGTGATGCTAGCTTCAGATATGACAAAACTTAAAAAGTAATTAGTCTCTAAAAATATATTTTTTGAATTAATCCTTATTAAATTTTTATTTTGGATTTAGTCCCGTAAAATTTTAATATTTTAAAAATAAACTCTATTTTAATTTCTTTTCATTCTTGATTTAGGTAGCATCTTATACTTCATATTTTTCTTAAAAATATTCGACGAGTTAATATTACCTAAAGTTAAATAGTAAAATTCTTTAGTGTTGAATGTAATGGAAAGTTAAACTAAAACAAAATTGGAATAAATTAATGTTCATGGGCAGACATACTCGTCAAAAAGTAATAAAATAAGTTTTTAAACTATTGTTCAACAAGAATTATTTTCAATTACTAAAAATTTCTTAATTCAATTGTTTGAATTTAAAGGATACAAAATTAAATAAAAATAATGATTCAATTGTGGAATTAAAATAGCACAACCTTTGTTTAGGGCAAGTATACCTGTCAAAAAATAATAAAAGAATTCTAAAATAAGTTTTCGAAACATCGTCTCACAAGAATTGTTTCTATTTACCAAGAAATTCTTAATTTAATTGTTTGAACTTAAAAGATGCGAAATTAAATATAACAAAGGTTTGAATATAAAATTAATCAATGAGAAATTAAAATAGTACAACTTCTAACAATAAATTGATCAAGAAAAATCTAGGATGTATGATTTTATCTTTACACTTTCCTATGTTTTCTTTTAAATTAATTTTAATTCTGATTTTCTTATAACTGCCAATCATTCATACTAAATCTATTAACACTCAATAATTATGCAATGTTAACAGTTTTTTTCTCTAAATTATCACCCTCAATGATCATACAAGGTAAAAGAAAAAGAAAATATAAAGTTCTTATGAACTGTTTACTTAACAACGATTAAAAGAGAAGAATTAAGTTTGGTCCACCTCATCCTTTATCTCGTTTTACCCAATAGATCCATTAATTATATGTGGTACGATCGCTTATAATATAATTAATTATGGTATGTTCAAGAGTTGTTAATTCTAACATATAAATATAGTGCAACAAGGTAACACCAATCAAGAATAAAAATACGAAATTATCATAAATAATAAAAATCTTATAGAGTCATGCAAAGAATCCACCATAACTCTAGCTATGGATTTAGCTAGAAATAATATTAAAGAAGATCAAAATAACAATAAACCAATTCATAGTAATTGAAAAGTAAACACATACTAGAAGAGTCTCCAATGGAGAAGAGATGGGGAGAGCTCTTAATTTGATACGCTCCCAAAGCTCTTGTAATTGTCAGCGACTGGCCAACGTTAAGGTTGAAAGATGTAAAAAAAGATGTGAAGTCTAAGAAATATTGAAAGGCTAATTCCAAAAAGTGCTGAAGTCACTGCCCTTAGGTTCCTTCAATAGAGTTTAAAGACCTTAAAATTGCTCTAGAGTTGGACTTCTCGAAGATAAGCATGATCGTGCAAGACCATAAGCATGACTATGCATGTGCTCGAAGCACCATGTGCTAATTGTTGGGGTTTAGGCGTGCTGATTGCGAAGTCCTATTTTTTAACCAGTTTAGACCCAAAATACACCAAAAATCCAATTGTGGCCTTCTCATAATAATCTGTATAATAATCATATAAATTAATGTAAAAGCTTAATAAAATAATGGCCACAAATAAATATATAGACTATAAAAGTATGTCAAAATATAGACTTATCAACTCCCTCACACTTAAGGTTTGGTTATCCTCAAGTAAAGTCCTAGCTAAAAATAACGAACTTGAAACATATCACTATAATAAGGAACCCAAAACAAATGAGATCAAACGAACAAGAAGAGCAATATCATTGAACATAAGTAATCAAAGGTTTCTTAATTAGAATATTATATTTCTTAACTATTCATTCCTCTAAAGAAAAGTATACTACCATAAGCTTAATTATAAATTAAATGAAAGTAAAAATCATGAGGTATTTTCCAAGTTGTAATGTGACCTAAGAGTTTTAATAATTGAGGTGAGATGAATGAAACGAATGAAACGAATGAATATACAAAGGGGTAACAAATCATAAAGATTACAAATATCCCCTAAGTTTATAAATGAAGCTCTTGAAATAATTTTTTATATTTTACATTCAATCAATATCTTTACTCCTTCCTCTTTTTATTCACTTGTAACCGTTTTTCTTTTCTTTTTGTAATTTTTATTTTCTTTTATATTTACACATATTTTCGTTCTTTTTGCACATAAGAGATGTAGAGGAGAATTTATCAAACAATTCAACAACTTAATTGCTCTATTCATAAACTCAAGGTCATCAAATCATTTTATAATTTCAATGCAAGGGACCAAGAAAAATCAATAAAACTCAAAATGGGCTACTAGTTGTATCTCAAACATGCTGAAGCCAAAAAATAAAAATCTTATTATGTCTCAATCATATTAAAACATGCGATCAAAAGAGTATCCTATAGTCGGTTGCAAATCAAGTTCTAAAGCACAAATCTTAAGGAGATAATTATACAAAACAATGAGAAAAAGAGTACAATTAATTAAATTATGATAAAATCTCCTTTAAAGCTCAAAACTCACATTTGTGGGTTAATGTAACCAAGAAAAATATAAAAATTAGGTAATTATTAGTTTCTACTTAATCATAAGCATCACATTAAGAACCTCTACAAATGTGGAACAATTATATTTCTCCATAGATTTAATAAGAAATCCTTCAGTCCCTTGACGAACCATTTAACACACATTTCCTCTGTAATAGGTAAGGAGCATGCTTAAAATGTTGTGTGAAGTGGGCACTAAATTATGAAACTGACATATTCTCAATGTGTTGCAACTGCTCAAACTCATAAGCTAAAAAGTCACACACTCTCTGGAAGAAATCTGGTCATAAATGACTGTGTGAATTCATCCCATGCTATTGGAGGTGATCATGTTACTGTCCCACAAAAAATATGGTATCATACTAATCATAAGCAATACCTTGTAGTTGGAATGATGTCAACTTCATAGCTCTAATCTTTAAACAACCCATTGGTCTTCAAAGTCTCTAGCTCATCAAAGAAACTCTTTGGATTTTCATTGTATTAGGTCTAAAGAAAGTTGGAGGTTTAAGCTTCAAGAATTCAGCTAAGGTCACCCCAATACTTCTAAAAGTAACGGCTGCTTGATGCTCACCTTGTCGCGAACTATGTCGGAGTTCATTAACACCATATTGTGACTACAACAACTTCAACAAGTTGTTGCGTGTAACCCGTTCATTCAAGCAATAAGGTTTAAAAGTGTATGGTCTTGGTGCCTCCCTCTAGACATATCCTCATGAATTAGTGTAGTTGTCACATGCCTACTACGACCATAGTTAATACCTATTCCTGACCCCTAGAAGTAGGATTTTGAACCTGAGTAGAAAATATATCAAGGAAAGTAGTCATTCTAGTTTTGAGTGGGATCTTCACCTAAAGATAATAATAATCATTCAATGCTAAACAAGTCAAATGAAAGAATTTTGTGAAAGTATAGAAGCAATTGTCACTTTTTTGAACTAATATAGAGTGTTAACAAACTCTTGTTAGTACATAGTATCCAAGTACATAATTTACTAACAAAATTCTAGCATCACTCTATTTTTGCAATTACTAAGACCTATAACTTGAGGGCTATATGACAATCAAGAGCTATACTAACCATGAAGAAAAAGATAAATGAAACAATGGAGAAGATAAATTATAATTGACAATGTTAAATCTAAATAAAAAATAAAAAATGAGTTTTGAAATGTATTATTTATTTAAAATTTTAAAACATGTGAAACATCACCATAAAGTTAAAAGTAAATTATATTTTATGCAAAATTGGAGAAGATATACTGGACTTCACAATTTTAATTAGAAACATAAAACATTAAAATCTTGGGGTAAAAATAACATGAGCAAGGAAAGAGAAAATTATAAAGAGGTAAACAATAGATATAGTTGTTTGAAGTGCAGCGATAAATGTGAAAAACAATTCAAATTTATTAGCATTGAAAAAATAACAATATTTAATTAATTAAACTGCAATAATAAATGTGAGAAAGAACTCCACAACTCATTAATTGAGTTACATTTTTATAATATTTAAAAATAAACCAATTAATAAAAGGAGTAAAAAAAAGTTCAATGAAAGCTTTTTGTGAAGTAATAACACCTCATCAATTTTTTTCACAAAATAAACTGCCAATCAATATATTATAGATTATACATATATTTATTTAAATATAATTTTAAATTTGAAATAGAACCTTATGTTCTGTACTAGGATCTTATGATGTACATATTTCTTTTTCCCATTCCAATCTTACATTGGATCTCAATTTTGACTGCCTTGGATTCAATTATGTTGATGCGGGTTAAACCTAGAAAAACCCTAAAAAAGAAATTAAGACCGTGTCAAATTTGAACACTAATTTTACGGGCTCAAATTGAATTCAGATTTTTTAGCTCATCCCGTAAAAGGACGCCGGAAATGGGCCGGATATTAATCGACCAAAAATACTGTGTAATAATGTATGTAAAAAAAATGTAAAGCAGCATTTCATCAATACAAGGTTTCCACTGATGGATCATTTGAAACGCACTGAATAGCAGCTGCCCACTGCTATGAATCAAGAGGCGATTCATTGTTTTCACTCTGAAGAATCAGATACGTACATCTTCACAAAAAATAGATCTATCTATAAAGATTACACACTTCCCCTTAAGGGGTATGTAACAATCATCTATTTTAAGCCTCGTGGTTTACAATACAAAAGTGAACCTCTATTTCTAAATAAATTGACACGCCACTCCATCACAATGCTACAATAACGGAAGATACCTTTGTGTCAATGAGAGTATGTCGCAAGAACAAATTCCAATTCCAAGTAAACATTATCCATATTTGCTTCTACTGCACAGGATATCTAACGTGTTTAAAGAAATGCAACCAGCCCAAGTCCATTTTAAATAATTCCCTTGGAAATGCTAGAAGTTGCATTTATCTTTAGTGAGCGCTCGGGGATGTAGGTAACACCTGTTACGACCAAAATGTAAACCCATGAGAACATGAGCAATATCATACTCGGCATTTTGCATTTGATTGCCATAACATGCAGAGCAGGAAAACTGTTTCTGATGAAGAATGAAACAAAATATACAAAATAAACCAAACTTCCAAGTAAAAATGCTTGTCAGAACACATACTTTGCACTTTTTCACCTGTAAATACCTAAACTGGTTAGGGAAAGCTGGAAACAAATGACAAATCCAGGCAGAACAACTAACAATATAAAATGGGTCCAAATGAGTACTTGGCAAAAATGCCACAGCTCGGGAAGGCCAGTACAAGACCTGGTAAAACGCATAACAAATATTGCTGCGCTTAAGTTGCAACTTTATAGTTATGCCCATCAATGATTCTTCAAAAGAATCATGACAATCACAGATTGAACATGTTTTATGCAGCAGTTTATCTTCCCATCATCCCATTACTATGTATTGACCAAATAATTCTTTGATAGAAAAGCATTAAGTTATGAAAAAAGTATCAGGACCCCTACCTTTTTCTTTGACATCGATTTGCAAAGAGTCAAGTGTAATTATGCCATCCGTCAAAGGAAGTAGCTCAAGCTTAATGGTCGCTGTGGATTGAGAGGGGATACATCTGATGTGGCCTTAAAAAATCAGCGTTGGTTTAAACAAAAACACACAAATAAAAAATGAGAGCTGATATATTACCCTAGTGGAACTCTACTCTGCAGCCAAAGATGTGTACAACTCAGGCCAGAACTAGGAATGACATCATCATTAGAAATTGCCTGTCTGGCATCATCACTTTGTTTCTCATTTTCTTTGACAAGAGAAGTGAAGCTCCCCCCCTGGGTAGCAGCACCAGTATGTCTTTCACCATTTATCCTTCCCAAAAATTCTGCGAAACCAATAAAAGGACTCATTGGACTGGTGGGTGAACTCAGAGAGACCACTGAAGGGGGTGAATTAAAGGAGGCTCGAGCAAGCACTGTCAAAGTTAGATCTTCAAATGTCAAATTTGAAGCTTGAAGAGTTAAAACCTGATGAATAAAAAAAAATAGTTAATTAAATTGTAATTTAAGTAGGAAAATAGAAGCTCCAACACAAAGCCCCAACTCAAGATATTCAATAGTAAAAACATATATTGACCTGCACAGGAAGTTCGGAATTTCTTTCATTAGGTCTGGACGACTCTCCAGACATCTCAGATGCAACAGAGATCATAATATCCCTCAATGTACGTGGTTGCCAGCTAGTTGCTTGCTTAAAGAATAATCTTGATGCTATATTAAGAATAAAACCAAGGGGAAAACAACTAATTAAAACCTTGGCATTCATTGGATAATACAACAAAAAACCAAAAAGACAAGAAACTTGCCTGTATAATTGCATCGACACGACACCATAATTGCATACTGATCATCAATTGAAGCAATCTTCGTTCTGTCAAGACTCTTCGAGGAAACACTTAATTTTGATTCTGAGTTTCCAGATTGCAACTTTAAAACTTGAGAACTTTCATCCTGAACCTTTAGATTCTTCCACGTAGAAGTTGCAGGTTTAAGGATAAAAGAATGCTCTTCACCTCTCCTGTAATAGAAACTTCTAGTAAGATGATGATCGGATTTAACTAAACAAATGATAAACCAAATTCAGAATTTCACCAACTTTACTTACTGTTTAGTGTTTAATCAGATTAATTTAAACTTGAATATACAAACACATGTATTCCAGAAGAGGGGATGGAGCAGGGGGAGGTAATTCCTTTTATTGAAAGAAGATCAGAAATGAATTGAAGAGATTCAATCTCTTTTCTTACTTGTCTACGAGTTAAAAGAAAAACACATTTCCCACAAATTTGCAAGAGGGCAGAGAGTTTAATGCTTTTAATAAACATGATAAGATTTCATAATATTATTCTCTCCATATCCTTTACTTTTTGACATGCATTTTCTTCCACAACCTCCAATTATTCACTATTTATTCTTAGTCAAATAAGAAAAAAAGTTAATTCAATTATTGTAGTGTTTTACACATTCTTAATCCCAAAATAATAAATGGAGATATATTACAGCATTATTGTTTTTATGTTTGTTTAGTAAAATTGTAAGGTTACAAAGAAATTTTACACTCGTACTCTTCCTTTCCCAATACAATCAAAAGCAAGATTCCCCTCACTTTCCTAAACCTACATGGTACAAAGAAAATTTGAGGCCTTTCATACATCATAAATATTGGTGTTCTCGATGGCATATTGAACCCACGCATAGTTTACATGGCATCATGAAACAATTTCCCCGTCTTTTGCAGGGTTTGGGTCACTTGACACAAGCATACATAACTAATAACCAGGGACATATGTTGCATGATATTTTTCTGGATTATTATTGCTTTTTAAATTAAATTCAAAGGTTACAATGAAATTTTACACTTCTACTTGTCCTTTCCCATTGCTGTTGAAAGCAAGATTTTCCTCCCATTCCTAAACGTACATGGTACCAAAGAAAAAATTTAAGGCCTTTTCCACATCAATAATTTTGGTGTTCTCAACTGCGTATTGAACCCATACTCATGGATAGCTTACATTGCATCATGAAACAATTTTTCCCATCTTGCGGGATTGGAGTAACTCAGTACAAGCATATTTAACTAAGACTGAATAACCAGGGGCGTATGCAGCATATCAGATAAGTAGCAAAACAAATAACATAAAGATATTTAATAAGAATAAAAACCTGAGGGCCAAATTTGGTAAAGAATGGTCATTTCCAGCTTCGATACAGGCAATTGGTAACGACGAAGGTGGTCCACTTTTAGTAGCCTCTTTGAAAACAATTGTTATAGCATCTATAAATACTACAATATCTGGAACATGAGCAGGAGCAATATTCTGGAGAACAACTTATAAAATATTAATCAAAACCGAAGCTCAAGTAAATTAACAGCATAGATGTCCCAAAAATAACATGACAGTGTAATATTCAACAAAAATAAAGGTAAATATGCCAAATACTTTAGTTCAGTGAAATCATAGTTCATACCTTTATCTGAACACACAGAAGATCCTCGGAATTGCAGTCAGCAGCAAAAGAATGAATCTCTACAGGTTGTACTATTTCAAATTTCCTTCTCCACCTTCTTCCAGGTGTATAGATACCTTCTAATCCACAACAAACAGAAAATCTTTCTCGCTCCAATGATACACCTCGAAAGGATAAAAGTTCTTCAACTCCATTTTTTTTCCTAAAAAATTTCTGAGATGAGATTTGATCCCAATCATCAATGTCAAAGCTTGGCTTAGAACTAGCTGCTTTTAAAGGAGCAGTAGGTGCACTTGTATTTTGGGGTAATGATGACATGGAGTAACTTCTAAAATGGCTGCCAAAGGAGAATAATTGAGAGCCAGATGATGCGGAAGAATTGGACCTCTGAGAGGTGCTACTGCTTCCTGAATTTGAAGACAACTGAGGAGTAAGCTGGCGAGAAGCAGGGGCAAGAGTGTTATCTAATGGTAGTATCCATTTCAATAAGTCTCCACATGAATCCTGATTTATATGCACTGGATTGTCCTGGTTCTCAGAAGACAGTAATTTTTCCTGATACTTTTCATATTGGAGAATTTCTATACAAGGGTCTCTCAGGAATTCAACACCAACATTCACCTGTAAAAGAACCTGGATCCTTCCAAACAGGAAAATAGAATCAGATCAGTAATCTGAGTAAATGAGATTAGCAAGGCACAATTAGGAGGATTTTACAGATCGAAGACAAAAGCACCAAAAGATCAAGTTATATAAAAACCATTTTTTGATCGATTGGAGCTTAACAGGGAAATTTCATAGTTCTGTAAATAAATTTGTAATTTAACAAATGCTTAAGTAGACTAAAAAGAAGACATCAAGACTCTATCCAGTAGGCAGTAGCCAGCAAGATACTATACTCAAGCAATACCTCCCCATCACAAAAGATATGTTCTAGAAATCTCAATAGTAATGATAATTGCACATGTAAAAATACTCCACGATAGCCCAAGTATCATATGAAGATCTTTGGCTACAAGTGCCCCAGAGAGAGTCTGTAAATGTTGATAATACAGATACTAGATGAATCCAAGCAAAACATACAATAAACCTTGTCCGGATGCAGTATGATTTCAGACATTTTTACTAAATAAAAGTTTCTCCATAAGTTTTAGTTGATGAACAAATGAGTTGGATGCCATGCCTCAGTACTCTAAAAGGCTATATCTAGCCAAATATAAACCATAGTTATCAATCTTGGATAGCAGCGCATAGTAGCCAATGCCAAAATTGCTATGTCGGGATAGGGCATAGCAGGATGACCACTATTAGAAATTTTATATACACACACACACACACACACACAGATGCTAACATTTTTTTAAAACTCAAAATCCATTACATATTCATAATTAAAAATAAGAAGTCATAGTTCTTAGGCAAAACATAAAAGCAAAATAAAAGTGTAAAAAATCCCCCAAAGCAGTGCTTTTTTAGGGCAACAATGATTTCTTTTTTAAAGATTCACAATAGCGCTGCTATTGCGGCTGCTACAACCGTTATTCAAAATCACTCTGCTATTCAAATTTTATAGCGGCCTATGGCTGCTCCAGCTACAGCACTGCTATAACCCACTATTGATAATTATTATATAAACAAGGAAAAGCTATGCACATGTTTATTTAAATGTTTTTCTGTCTTCATTTATTGTTTTGACTTTTAATTCAAAAAATGTCATCCCTTTCTCATTTTGTTTTATATTTTCAAAGATTTGTAGAAGAAATAGTGAACATTTTATTGTTTTCACAGTTTCTTATACAAACATTTGAAAACAGAAAACAAAGTAAAAACAATGTAGCCTTTTTCATAAATAAAATTGAAAACAGAAAACGTTATTTCAAACCAAACATGCTCCATGTATTTGAATGTATTACATCTAACAATACAAATGATTGTATATTGTAAGTAAAGGACAGCCAAAAGCTTGTGTGTGTCAGCATGTGCATCTTCAAAAAATGGGAAATTTAATTGAACAAAGGACAAGAAGAAGAGAGAACTTGAAAAGGCTCGGCCCAATTGTAACCAAAAGGTAGAAACTCCACCTGACAGTGGGACTTTAGAATCCATACCAATCTTTTAGATCAAGAAAATGAATGATCATAGTTGCTGAAATTTTATGGCACATACCACTATATCTCCATTTGGTAGGGCACAACACTTGACAGAATTTCTTGCCACTCCACCAGAAATAGTTGCATCAAAATTTGCTGTATCAATTACTGCAGAAATAGAAGACGCATTTTTTGCATTCTCATTACTTCCAGATGTTGTCTTTTGGCCATTTGGTTCAGAGGAGCTTGAATTTTCTGAAGAACCTCGTTTGGTCCAAAGTGGTTCATCGTACTCAGAAATCCTCACAAAGAAGTGAGAATTCTCAAATTTTTGCAACAACAATGCAGTTTGTCTTTTGTGAACCTCCATCCTTAGAAGGGATTCACCATCAGAAACATCAGTTGGGTGATCAATCTTTGCCTTTTCCAGGTCTTCCACTTTGTGCTCTTCACCGCTGGGACTCAGTTTCCCTTCTCCAGTCACTGAATTGTTTCTGTTTTCAACATTACCATTTTCTTTGTCAGGACCATGACCTATGCCATTCTTACTCATCATAGCAGCAACTTTAAAAGGAGTAATAATCTCCGTATCCTGCTTACAAGCAGACAAGCATGCTAGGATATGAACTTGTTCACCTGAATCACAACTTCCACGTGAGCCCGCAGACCAAATCATTCACTTCAAACACTGCAATTCACGTCCTAAACAAACCAAGAATCTTACCAGGAAATAGAAAGGAACGATCTAGGGAGCACAAGGACCGTATATCCGACACACGATTCCAATCTTCAGGAAGATCCTCTATAAAAGTAAAAATTGCAAAGAAAACATATCACATTACATAAGCAGAATAATCTCCCCTGTAAATGTGTAGACAAGAAAGAAAGTACTCTCTTAACACTAAACTCTACAACTGTAGTGTGTGTTTGGATTCACGTTGGAAGACCTGTAAACATGGATCCAACGCAAACGCTACAACTAATAGCGTTGTAGTATACATGAATCCATAGGTATTAAACACGAATCCAAACACGCTATTAAACTGAACGCTAAAAGAAACAAGGTTTGTTATAATTTTTCTCATTTGCTTTCAGTAGAACCAAAATATACAACTATTTTAACGCCGTGTCCTATTTCATTCTATTTTTAGAATGCAGCAAAGCAAAGACGGAATAAATTCTAGCACGTCTACGAAATGCCACCTGAACGAAGAAATAAGATTATTCAGACAAGTTAAGGTTAGTATTGGAGTACATACTGTAAGGAATAGTAATCCATCCTTCCTGTGGAGAAACATCCAAGTGTTTAGCGAAAAACGGCACGTCGTTTTTGGAATTTGGAGCAGCGCCGCTTTCGGCATCGACGTCGCCGCCGAAGTGATGGAGTGTGGAATAGTGCGCGTAGGGGTCTTCGGACATGAGATTCTCCAACGACGAAGTTGCATCTGCGCGAGGCTCAGGAGGAGGAGGAGTCGACGGAGACTTTTCTCGTTCGGAATACACGTGTGTGGTGGACCGCATCAAGAAATTCATCGTGTTTGTGTGTCTGAAAATTGGAATCGCAAGCTGAGATAGCGAAATGAAGGGTTTTGGGGAGTTTGAATGAAGTTATTTGAAGTTAGGGAATGAGTGAAATTGAAGTTGGTGATGAATGAGGGATCTGTGGAAGGAAAGTGTACCTGATGATGCGATCAAGGTTCCAACACAAGTGGAGTGCCTACTTCAATCTCGATCTGATCCTGCTCTACTACTCCCTGCCTGCACACTGCAACCCAATTTCTCTCTCTTCTTCACTCACCACCCCCAAAACGCACCGTTTAAATGCTCCCCTCCCCTGCATAAACCGGCTCATTTATACTGGATTTTTCTTTATTTTATTATCACCAAAAATAGTTTTGTAATTTTAAATTTTTATATTTTTTTGGTATTTTTAATCATTTTATTAACTTCGATCCTTAAAGTTTAAGCGTACAAAAATTAAAGTTCAACTTTAATAACATGTTCTGACTAAACAGACTTACCATCACACATGAATCCGATGAAATTTTACATCACTCAGGTTAATAAAATCATTAAAAATATAAAGAATAAAGAACATATAAAAATAATAATATCTTATTAAAAATAATTATTATAAAGATATAATAAAATTTTACTATTATTGAATGTTTAAATTCAATTCTAAAGATTAAGATTAATAAAATCATAATTTTTACAAAAAAATATTAGATAATTTTTTAACATGAGTGCTTTTATAAAATAAGATTTAAACTTTAATTTATCATTTTATAAAATTTACATCAACTATTTAAATGTTAAGATATAACCTTTTTGTAAAAATGAAAAATTCAACTAATGTTAATATGCTTCTAATTTTAAATTTAAAAGATAATTTTAAAGATCGATTGTTTTAAGTATTTATATGATACTTATATGTAAAGTTAACAAAACTTTAACTTTCTCAAAGAACAGATTAAATTTTGAACTTATCAATAGATTAGGTCATGTTAAGTATAAAACTTGAATAAGTGACTATATAGATACTTTTTAAATCATCACATAACAAATTTTAGTGATTCTATACTTTATTAACTTGAATTGATTAATGAGATGAACCATGTAAACTTTAGCATGGTTAAATTTTAAAGTTTAAATTTAAATATAATAGTATAAATTTTACTTTACACTTCACTTAAATCCTAAGTAAAAATATCATGTATATTAAAATAAAAATATATTTTAAAACACTTGGTGAAAAAGTCTTGATAGTGGTGACGGCGGGAATATCCCGACCCTACTATCATTATGCCTTTTTTTTAGAATACTCCCGTTGCAGAATCTGCAGATGAGAAGTTTTTTTTTTTTTTTTCAAGTGATAGTAAGATAAAAAAAACTAAATAAGTCTCATAACAAAGGTCTTAATACAACTAATATTAATAGATCTCTTATATTTTTTTTCTAGTCTACTACAACATTTGATTCCTTGCCTAATTAGGTAATGCAACACAATATACTATATTATAAGTAGGCCAATTCAAATGGATACAATCTACCATTTGCTTAATAATTTTACTTGCACAAAGCTAATAACTAGTACACATTTGACAACAATTTTAGGATAAATGACACTTTATCTCTTTGTAATTTATGTTTTTTTAATTTATAGTCTATTTTTATTTTAATTAATCAACTTTTTTACAAAGTGTAAAGTAATATAAAAAGGTAGCATTATAAAAAAGTGAAGTGATAGAAAAAGAAATATAAGAATTTAGTGACATAAAAAAGTATAAAAGATAAGTTGAGATAGTCGCTAGCCAACAAAATTTTACAATTGTTAATAATTAACCAATCTAGTAAAAAGTGTGATGACATTTTAAAAAATAACAAATATTTTAACATAGGTTGTCAAAATAATCAATGTAGAAAATAAAAACAGTAAAAAATTTAAAAAAATGGGAAAAAATGTTAGAATTTTGAAAAAAAAATTTGTTCAAAGCTTATTTGGGCATTTGAATTGGATAGATATATAATTTGCATAAATTAGAGTTTTGTACTAAAAGTTATGTTTCTTCAAAGTTTATAACTACATATAATATTTCTTACATCAGTTATTTAGTAAAAAATTTGACTATAAAGACGAAAAATTGCATAACTTTTTACGTCTATTATTTCTGGAACATGCATAACCAATTTAAAATGTAACATTTCAAAGACACATTAGTGACATAACATAAATTGAAGACTACGAACATGAATTTATATTTATATTCTCATATTTATATTAAGGTTTTTGACAAAATTGTTGACATACGAATTCTTACTTATATTTTCAAACTTCTGTTAGCATTATTGGCTACGCTATTGACTAACACGAACTCTTACCAAGTACATCAATAATTTTATCTTATTTCATTTTATATTTTTTTTTCATTCATTACTATATAACATTGACAAACACTGCATATTTTTCATTTATAATTCAACAAAAATTAAATCTCAAGTAAATATTTATGAACATTGCATATTTTTTTTTATGTTCATAATCAATAAAGATTAAATATTATGTAAATATTGATGAATATTGATCACGAACATTAATCATATTGACATTAACAAACATTGACATAATTAAAAAATTATTTGCTAAACTCTTAGAAAAACAATGATGCCATTGACAAACATTAATAGAAAGAACACTTTTTGCGTTAGTTGGTTAAAAAATTCAGGTAGAATATGTATATTTTCTACATAATTGATATAAAATCTCTTTATTTACTACATCTCTTATATCTATAGTGAGGAAACCAACTAATATCAAAGTCGTTTTTAACTAATGCAAAAAGTTTTTTTTTTTTCTATCAATGAGTGTAAAACTATGTGATGATAAAATGTTAAGTTATACATAATTTTAAGATAATGAATACTTCATTCATCAATTACTATTACATAAGTTCAACCTTTGACATCTAACATTCAACTAAAATTACATAAACTTATTTACTTTCTACCTTATTTCATTCCATTAAACTTACACATTAAGTTTAGACATCAAACTTAAACATCAACACAACTTTTTTTCTTGGATTCTTTACACTTTTGTTAGTTGTCAACACATTTTTTTTTTCTTTTCACTAACTACCAATGTAGAAAATCTTAGAAAATAAATATTTTCTACATGTTATGTAATAATCAATCGATTTAAAAATATGTAATTTTCTACATCAATTATGACTTAACCGATGTAAAAAAATAATTTTATACATTAGTTAAGTCTAAAATCATGTAGAATGTAAACTTTTTTTTAAATATGCTTTTTATTTTCCATTATATCCAAAAACTTAAAATACAAATATAATTTAGACACAATTTCAAAACATGCACATTATAATTATAACAAAATATTTTATACAAGTTAATAATTTTATATAAAATAAACTTAATTATAATGTATACAAAGACATTGAAAAATTAGTAATATCTAAAATAAAATTGATTTAAGGTCTCCAAATGTCATTAATCTTCTCTTTAAGTATTAGATCACCATCTTTAAATATTTACAAGTTCAAATAACATAAAAATATTATCTTTAATATTATAAAGATATAAGTAACATATGTTTATAATAATAAATATACTTATAAGAAAAATAAGCATATGCCTCATCACATAATATTCAAACTCTTAACTCCCTTTTTGTTTGTGTAACCAGAAGAAAAACAACAAGTATTTAATATTAGACTCTAATAAGTAATAATCTTAAAATTAAAAGAAAAATATTAAATGACAAATAAGAAGCACAGTTAAACATACACGTTGGTAGATCTATATAGGCTTTTTCTCGTAATATGCTTACCCTCCCACACATTACATGGTTCTATACATTTATTCATAATGAAGTTGCCATTAACGAGTGAATTAGGTGGCCATTTGATTACATATAACATATAAAATAACTTATAACAATAATGTCGTATATATTTACACATCAATTATGACTTTTATTTTTTTCTTGGTCTTACCCCATAACAAGTAGAAGAAGACAACTTTGTTCCATTTAGAACAAATTATAAACAACTATTTATGCCTCCTTGATAATTGTATAAAATAAGTGATTTGAGATGATGATTTGAGCACTTTTAATGTTAAAAGTTTGGATTATTTTGTTAAAATTCTCTTTTAACTTGAAACTTTTACAAATATTTGTATATTTCAAGAAAAGAATGCAATTGTAGTGTTTTGATTCCTTTTTTTATTTATTTTGTAGTGGAAAATCAAAAGAGAAACATCATTTAAAGTTGAAAAAAATTGAAAAAAGTCAGAAAGAGAGCATATAAAGCATGAAGTTGCAGAAAAAGTTAGCTTCTGGAGTTTTCTCGCTATAGCGAGACACCCTCGTTGCAACGAGAATGCTTTATTGGGAAGATGGTGAATTTGTGCTCCTCTCGCTACAGCGAGAGGCAAACAGAATGACCTAATTTCTATTTTTATGTCTCGCTACAGCGAGAGAAATTCGAGCAGACTAACATAAAATGCGACTTTTATGTTTTTGAAGGGGGTTACTGTTCCATAAACATTTCCAGAGAGGGAGAGTGGTGCAAGGCATAAGAAAAGAGTAGGAATACTCGATTTTTTATATTCTACTATGTTTGTATCTCAATTCTTATTACTATGGTTACTATGAGCATCTAAACTTTGTATGAGATTGAATGTAAATCTTTAAACTTGATGTATTCTCAATAATTTATATAAATATAACTGTTTCTTCTTCATTTTTATTAATTTGGTGATTTCAATCCGTGTTAATATTTGAATCTGTCTATTTGATAGTTTTTGGAGCCCAAATCTAAATTATATTTGGAAAGATATTATTTAGATCTAAATCTGATTGAGATTACTCAATAACTGGTTATTTGATGAGATTACTCAATAACTGGTTATTTGAAGAATATATTTCAAATTATTGATTGCTTTTAAATCTTGATTTTAATACTGGATAGTTTATTAACTGTTTGAGAAGTCAACATTTGAGAAATTATCTTAGAAATATATTTTTAAGGAATTGAAATATAGGACTTTCATATTTTACATCAAATTCATTGAAAATGTTTGCTATATTTATCGTTGAATTACTAGAATACAGAGAGGGGGACAGATGAAATTCAATCCTAGCTTCTTGAAGTTGAATTTTACTATATTTTATATTATCATTTTACATTTTAATTGTTATCCAAAATTTCATGAAAAATATCTATCAATTCTATTGTATATAAGCTCAATTAATTTTTATCTTAATAATTAATACATTTGAATTGCTCTCTGAAAATGATACTCTAGTACTCTACTAGTTATTACTTGTAATAAACTCAGTATACTTGCCGTGTACTCCTACAAATTATAAACAAATGGTGGATAAAATTTATTTAGAGAGCAAATGCTACTTCAAAGGATATTAAGAGGAAATTCGTTGGAACATTAATGCGAGAGATGTGAAATTAAGGTCTCTCTCCAATCAATCCCTCCTCTCTTTTTTTTCGTTTATTTTTGTTGAAAGTTGGTTTAAGTAAATTCAACAAGTGAAATGTTCTTGTATTTAGTGATAATAAGGACCAAATATTGTAACTTGACAATAAGGACCAAATAAAAAATGATAAACATGTATAAATAATTAATTACAATTTTTTACAAAGACCAAATTGAAAATAAAAAGCACGTGTGAGACTAAATTCATATCTTAACCATTATTTTATAGTTAATTTGGTCGCGTCATTTTTTTTTACCATAATAGAAAATATTAAAATAAAAACAATCATGTCCATAATGTATTATTAATTATTGCTTAATGTTTTGCTTAATCCTCTCCCCTATGCTCCCCAAAGTAATAAACACACATCATTGATTGAGAGAAATCAATATTGCAACATAAAAAAGAAGGATGAAGGATAAAAATTCATTATGTAATTTTATTTAGATATCACATGTTCGTAAACTTTTGGCTAAGGGCAGGATATACTCAATTACTCCATATATCCGATTCAACCATACATATAAATTGATTTGATTTAACTTAAATAATAGTTTATTTAATGTAATTAATTTGAGTATTAAATTTTAAGAAACAAAGTCAATTATTCAAACAATCGACCTTATTAATATACTATTTAATATTTAAAATTAATTTATAATTCTTACTTACACACAATAATAACATTTAAACAACTTAACAATACACAAGCTTATAAATTTATACATATAAATTTCTTTCATATTTTTTGCTTTTTTTATAATTTTTTCTTTAATTTACTTAAGATTAATTTTTTAAAAAATAATTCTATTAATAAAAATATTATTCACATAATACAAGTTGAGTAGTTAAAATAAATAAAAATATTAAAAATTATTTGTAATTATAAAATGTTTATTTATTTTAAACAAAAGTTTTATTATACTGTAATATAACTCGTTATCTAATATGAAAGTAAATGTTAAACTTTAAATAAATAATATACAAAATATTAAAAAAAAGTAAAAGTTACTGAAATAAAAATATTTAAGTGAACGAGTAATCAAACCAAAATAATAGGATAAAAAATAATTGTATGAACAAAAATATTGAAGTTATACTAATAAAAAAAATGACTAAAATAGTTTAATTATATGAAAAGAAAGTCACTTAAGTTATCATTGAAAATAAAATTGATAGAATGACTTCAGTAAAAAAAAAAGTAAAAAATACCTAAGAAAACCTAAAATTTTTTATTAAATAATATTTAATAATAAAAATATTTTTTTTAGAATTTAATTTTATTGTGTATGTCAGTAATATTATATTCTCTACGTAGCTGACCTAATTAAGTCTCTACCATCTTGATTCTTGAGCTACATCCCTTTTGATGATAACTTATTATTATTAATGAATAGACCCTTTAATTTCTATTTGGTTCATGCATACAGGAAATTTGTTTGTTTGGGTATTTGTTCAAAATGAAGGTTTTGGCAACACTGGAGCACAGCTCGATGGCAAAGTTGGATATTGTCCCGTACCTTTATTAATGGTTCAAAACAGTAGCAGATCCATAACAATATCAATGGTCCAAAACCATGTCATTAAATTTTTAAAAATAGCAATGGTAGCGTCGTATGTTTTTAGAATTTAATTTAAATTTATTGAATTATTCTATTATCTAATAATACATTACATATCAGGAAAAAATATTAATTTTTTAAAAGTCATTATAAAAAGCATATTCACAATACATTCTAATTAGATTACAATATACAGTTTATCAGAAATTAAATTTTCATTTTAAAATATATTTATTTTTATTGATTATCTTTTCTATAAATTAAAATAATATTTAAAAATAAATCAATTATTAATAAAATATTTTAAATTTTAAAAATAAAAAGTTTCATAATATATATATATATATATATATATATATATATATATATATATATATATATATATATATATATATATATTAGAATCTCTTAGTTTCAATAATACAAAACTTCACTTCAAGACTCGAAGCTCTCATGTCGCGCAAAAATTTAGACGGCTCTTTACAATAGACACTGTTAATTAGCAAAGTCAAATATTATTCACAGTAATAAATAATATTTTTATTAAATATTATTAATGCATTAAGTTTTATGATATTTTGTGATGTTTTAATAAAAAAGTTTTGTTAAAGACTATGAATAAGTAGTTAATAATAGTAAAATTTTATTAGAAATATAAGTATTTATTGTATTTTTATAACTTTAATATAATAATTATATACTTTTTTATAATTTTTTTTATTTGTATATGCTTAAACTCAATCTTAAAGGTTGAAGTTAAAAAAACTCTTAATAAAAAGTTTAGTATATTAAACTTTTGTTATGGGTTTATGGATATACGGTAGAAAAAACTTATAAAAATATAATAAAAATTAGAATTATTTTTAAATAATTTAAACTTATAATATTTTTTAATTTATTTAATTAAATTTTTAGTATAAATTATTAAAATATTTTTATTTTAATAAATTTTTTATAATTAAATTTATATCATAAATTTTTATGTGAGAATTTTATTTTATCATTATTATTAAAACTAACAAAATTAAATCTACCACGAGTCCCTAAATTATCTTAATTATATGGTTATAAATGATCTTATTTAGGATTAATTTGTTTTGTAGTTGAAAAACTGATCCTTGTAATTTTTTTCAATTATAAAACACATGAGTAATAAAAATATATGGTTGAGATTAGTTTATGCGTATTTTAATTGTGTTTAATAACTTCGAATTTATTTCATCAAGATTAGCACTTTTTAACTTTAAATCGAACACACTTAGTATTTTTTTTATTCAAGAGTTATTACCTTCTATGAGAAAGATATGTGAAAAACTGATAAAAATAATTAAATTTTTTTATGAAAAATATCTAAGGACAATGTTAAAAATGTAAAGAAATAGAAAGTTTTGATTGTATTAAAAAAAATAACAAAATTATGTTGATTTCTTTTTAAATTTTCATGTTTTACTAATTTTTGAAGACACAATATTATTCCTTTTCAAAATGCACTTGTGTGAGTTATCAATCTTCAAATCTTAAAAGATGGTTTCTCAAACTTTAAAAATATCTATTTGATGAGTATGCACAATTAATATGAACAAATAACCTTATTCAACACGTTGATGGATGAAATTTGATATTTATAATATAAACAATTGTTAAGTAAAATGATTTTTATTAAAGTCACTACTAAAGTAATTAGTGAGAGAAGTCTCTTTACATGAGAGTGAGAAGAATAAATGTGAATCATACAACTATACATGAATTATAAAGATTCAAGAAAACTGAAATATTCCATGATTACTTAAAAGATTATATATAACTTTTTTTAAAAGCTTAAATAAATTATATATATGTTTTAATCTTAACTATTTATGATAAGATATAATGGTTAAAATTTGTTCCTCTTAATCTTTTTATATGAAAGAGGATACTAAATATGGTCCATGCAACTATAAATGGATGATCAATAATACAGATTTAAAATATTATATAATGACTTAAAAAAATTATGTTCTTCTTGAATTACTCTAACAAAAGTTACTTTGTTTAATAACATTATAAAAGTTAAATTTCATCGATCTAACCTAACTGTTAAAATTTATTTTAAAGTAGATTTAATCTACAAAGTATTATACAAATAAAAAAATAATTATTAGTTCATTAAATAATTTCATTTTAACATTTAATATACAATTTAAAAATATAGATAATGCTGTTTACAAAATTACATAATTATGACCTTCTGATTTATAAAAAATTTAATATGCTTAACATCAACATGTTATCTTATTCAACTTTTCAATGGATGAAATTTAACTTTTATAAAGATATTAAATAAAGTAATGATAGTAAGAGTTACCATTTTTTTTCTGATATTATAAATGTATGTTAAAGTTAATTGCTAGTTATGAGTTGAAAGGAGAAAAGTCCTCTCTCACTCTAAATTTTTATGGAGAAAAAAAAGCAAGAGCTTCGTTTATAATGATACCATTATTAGTTTTTTTGACTAAACGAGCACGGGGGCCAAACATCACTGCGATGTGTAAAAATTAGCAAAATCATCTATTTATCCCATAAAATAAGTCAACAAGTTGGGTAGGGGCATCTGCATGCAACTCATTTGATCCTTCGTACACGTGATGAAAGAGCCACATTGATTAAACAAGATGCACCCTCTTTTCTAATATATAAAATCTCACTCTCTCTATTGTATTTCTATTACTAGGAATTGCCGATACACTCGGTTGCGGGCAAGTGCAAGTATATACAGTTATAGCCGAATATTGGCTTCATAAGATTTTGATCAGTGGTCTAAACCATTTGAAGTTAAAGGCTTCATAACCGATTTGAAAGTTTCCACCTTTTTATTTTTGGTTTTCTATTTTCATTCAATTGTAGTTCCTGTTCCTCTATATTTGTATCTGATAGCCCAAAACAGGTAATGTAGGAAATTCAATGCACTGAGCACACACATGAGCCAGTAAAACCTCTCTAAGTGATAGTGGTTAAGGTTAGCACCAGCTAGCCATGGTCTGTGAGAGGAGTTACCAGTGACACTATTTACTATTGATACAATTGCTGAACTTAGGTAGTAGCCCATAGCCAAAGAGACCCATGAAAGTGATGTGGCCAAAGATCTCATCCTAATTGGTGCTTCTGTGAAGAAAAATTCCAACAACCCAGCCAAAGTGAAAAGATCAGCAGACCCAAGGAACAAGTACTGAAAAGCAATCCAAAAGAATGTGATAGGTAGTGGTTGGGTTGGATTGTCTAATAAACCAGAGTTAGTGGCCACCCTTTTTCTCTTTACTTCAACAACTGCTGCCACTGCCATTGCGACTATAGAGAGGACTAATCCAATGCCAATTCTTTGGAGGTGAGTGATGCCTGTCTCAGTTTTGGTCACTTTCCTTGTAAATGGGATGATGATGTGGTCATAAATTGGTGCTAGAATCATTATAAAGAGCACTGGGAAAATTGGTAAGGAGGCTGGTGGAACATTTAAGGAACCAAGTTTGGTGTTCATAGTTGCAGCTTGTTCCACAGAGAATGTGGATAGTTGAGCCAGGCAGCAGTTTAGCATAATGGTGCAAGCAAATATGGGTATTACTTTCAGCACTATTTTAACATCTTCTACTTGCTCCACGGTGCATTCCATTGATGAGTAAATTGGCTTGTTTTCAACTGCTTTATTGAGAAATTTGAGTGTGTTTGTTGGGGTTGCTTCAGTTTGCTTGTTTGCATTGGCGGTTTCTTTCCCTGCCTCTTTTCTACCTGAGTGTTGGTTAGAAGGGCTTGAAGTCATGTTCACCACAGCACTGCTAGAATTTCTGTAGAAGCAGCTATTGAGTGAAGCAGCAACCAGTACCTGCTCAGTCAAAAGCAGCAAGTCCAAATTAGTCAAAGAGTGAAGACAATTAACTATATGTGGAGCATGAAGTGAATAAATAAAAAAGAAAAAATTATCTGTAGTGTTTGAAACATCTTTTTTTTAACTTCTCTTCTACTTAAGTAGAAGTTCTAAAAGTTCCTTTTCTTGTGTTTTTCTTCATGAAAATATTATTGCTGTTTCCCCTTTTTCTCTAAATGTGCATGACCGAGCTTCTTCTAAGGAAAAATGAAGTAAAAAGAAAACTGGGTCAAATACTTCCTTAGAACTAAGCACATATCGGCAACTCTCATTAGTTTTTACCTTAAAAATGGTGGTAAGTGGGCTTCCAGAAGGGATCTTGTTCCTATAACTAGCAGAACCTGCCAAGAACACAGGGATGGATACAAGTATGGTAATAGTAGAGATTCCAAAACCCCATTCCCACCCTTTGTTGTCTTCAACCCACACTACAAATGTGACTGCAATAAGGGCACCACATGACAAGCAAAAGACAAAGTAGTTGAAGAAGGTTGATCTTTGTTTCCTTCCAGATGGGGTGTTCTCATCAAATTGCTCAGCACCATGTGCTGGCAATGATCCCTTAATTCCTCCAACTCCAAGAGCCACCAGATAGAGTCCACCAAACAACATTGCAGCTTTTCCACCATTAACTTCATGGCATGGGGTGGACGGGACACATTCTGGTGGCTTCAGTGAAGGTACACGAGCTTGTATAGTTAGCACAATCAGTCCCTGCACAAGCTCCAATTCCCTTAGCCATGCTCAGATGTTCAATACAATAAAGCAGATTTTATTTAATTTCTCATATGCTAGCCCAGCTTATATCTTCTTATTTTTTTTAATAAATCTTTTTATTTTTATAAAGTAAATTATCAAATAAAAGAATCATATATTTATTATATTTAAAATATAAATAAAGTTATCCGGGCCCAATATGTTGATGTAGAATAAAAAAACTGCAGCAAATATCAACTTGGTAACCAATCAAAGCAAATGGCAATGCACATACAGACACTAACTATTGTTTGAGTTAGCAAGGCACACATTTTTATGGGATATGAAATAATGAGAGTCAACCAGTGAGATGCAACACACAGAGGAAGAGCATAACGTGTCCTGTACCATTTCTAAAATGTGCCCAAATAAGGAAGGGTCAGTATCTGTTGATGAAAATGGGCCACCCAAGTGGGCCAAGGCCATGTGCTCATCCCCACTTCAGCCCCAGGACTGGTATTGAACAGACAATGACTTCGTACGTTCCACGATCTACTATTAGTCATGACGTGTCACTGTGGGAGATTTTGGCTTTTAATGAGATATATCTCCCTTTGACCAAAACAAATAAAAAAAAACATGTCTGCACATGCTGTCCCACCGTAAGTGGTTTTATGAAACTTCTTTGGCTAAAACTAGGGGTGCTCATAGCTGTCTTTGATGGGGTTTAAACTACTCAAATTCTATACTTTACATATCTCCTAGTTTAGAGGAGTCAACCCAAAAATTATATTAATAAACTTTAACGGTTAGGTCTATAACTGCAATTCTGCAAACTGCAGTTCCTCTGAATCTGCGGAGGATTTTACTCCTATGCAATTAGCAATATTTAATAATTTATGCACGATTCATTATTTTTCGTTTTTCTCAAACTTATCTATAATTTACTCAAAATAAACACGATTAAAATCTTAGAGGCATTGTACTCATCTGCATAATTGTACTCATTTAAACTTGATAGATCAAGGGTAAATACTACAAGATTAATAACTTTGTGAACTAACGAAAATAAAAACTGCTAAATGTCAAAATTAATTCTATTCAAATCTTTCTCTATTATCTTGAATCTATTTTGTAACATTATTTGAATGAAACATGTTTGGTTCGCATCACTTTTAATTTATACTTTCGTATACAATGTATAATGTCACATCGCTGGGTAGAGAGAGAAGAGAGATGGAGAGAGAGAACAAAACAGGTTGTTTTTTAGTTAATATAAAATGAAGAGTAATAAAAACTGATGATGAAAAATCAGGGATTTGTCTGAATAGATATATTATTCCAAGTTATTTATTGCGTGGTTTCTTATCGGTATGCCAGTGCCACATGTCAAGACTTGGCACAGAGTCAAATCCACCATTTCATGAGGAACTGTGTAGTATGTGTAGTTATAGCTCTAGCGTTTAAGTTTATCAATTTAATTTAATTCTTATAATATTAATTTTATATATTGGAAAAAAATTGAATAAAAATTGAATAAACGCGATTTATGCAGTGGCGGAACAAAATCCGTAGAGCAGAAGGAGTTGTTGATGGCGTATAGAGAAGGGCATGCGGTTTGAGAAGCCAAAACGACAATGATGTTACTTTCCAAGTTCAAACATAACTGAGCGAAATCTCTATTTGTGCAACGTGTGGCACTGCCACAGAAACATAGGGTCCTAGGCAATTAGGCATTCTCAAGGAAATGAAATATACGTTGCATGAATGACGAAGATAAATAGCTGGGTCCCCCACTATCTTTTAAATTCGTTTCCCTCTGACTCTTTTTTTTTTTTTTCTCTTATGGCACGAAGAATAAATAATTAATATACATAACACAAAAAATGAAAAAACTCCTCCACCAACATTATTGTTATTTTGTCTCATTCACTCTTCTGTGTCACACGCCACTTTTTTCTCTCTGCTACAATTTGTCTTTCTTAGCCACCACTAGCAATAGATCTCTACACATTTGGGAGTTCAAGGTTAGCGTTATACTAATGTGAGGAGAGATAAAAGCTACCCCTATACTTTTTTCTTTCTTTCTGTTTTTCTCTTTTCCTTTCTCATGTTGGTGCCTTAAAAAATGATTCTTGACTTAGACAGGTATCTTAGTGGCCGTTCGCTCATGCAATTCATGAGGCTTTCTATGACCAAGTGGGCAAACGAATGCAGCAAAAAGAAAGCGAATCAAAGGGGATGGATAAGACAGTTTTTTTTTTAAATTTTTTTTTTTAATATAACATTATTGACATCTTTTCAATTCTATTATAGGGATTTGGTTGCATCATTTGATGCAGCCCCATATTGCAAGTTGTATTTGCAACTTGCAATTGACTAAGATTCTTGTTAAGACAGACATCATGGTTTTTAAAGACGCTTGCTCCTTAAGGAACCCAATACTAAACTAAATTCCACCCTCTCTCTCTCTCCCTCCCTTAATTCCTTATGATCAATAATGGGAAAAGAAAATAGAAACACATAAATGCAAAATCAAGGTAGCACTGGCAGTTAGTGGCTTATAAGGAATACAATTATAGGAGATTGTGAAGTGGAAGAGAGAAATTAAAGTCTCACAAGAGATGTGTCATACCAGGAATTCAATAACTGCGCTTATCAGGTAGATGTGATAAGTGGTGAAAAAGGCATCAGATAAGAAACCTCCAAGGAGGGCAAGGAGGAAAGCAGTTCCCATGAAATTTGTGACATTGTTGGCAGATTTTGAAGGGGACATGTGCATGTACTGCCTCAGATACAGCACCAAATTGCTTGCATTGGCTAGATATGCCAGATTCTCCAAAATCTCCACCACTGCCACAAACACACACACAAACGTGGGAATAAGTGCCAGATATGGTTTCATTATATGTAACATCATTCATCACATACATGATTTTTATGAATGTATAAGTCCTACCCATGACATAAAAATATGTATTAAACTATTGGATCATGAAAAGAAGGGAAATTGGGACAGACCCAAAACAAAGGAGGCTGCAAGCATGCCACCATGGTGGCCTCTGAGAGCTGGCTTGTTCCTCCAGTTCACATAGCCTTCCCATCTTGTTGACTGGTGTTGCTCTAATTCCTACAAGAGAATTAGTGACTGAAAAATGTGAATAATTAAGTTATATATATGAAATGAAGCACAGCATATGATATAATTAAATTAAGGAGAAGAAAGGGATATGGTTTAGAGGAGAAGAGTGCAAGAAATAGAGGGAAAAAGAACTCACCATGAATCTCTTTATCTCTCTCTCTCTTCTCTTTTTGGGTTTGGATCTGTGAGAGAGAGTTAGGGGAGCAAAAGGGAGAGGCTGGTGGAAGATTTAAAGAGTGCGGAAGGGAAGGGAAGGTCCAACTTGGGCAGAATGGTCTAGACTCTGATCCGCAACTATTAACATTTTGACTTTAGCTTCTCTCATACTCACTTTTTCTTTTGTAACAAATTAATATTTGCATATCGTTTTCAAAGGCCTTTAATTAATGAAAAATGTGCATTTTAACATACTCTTTCCTTAAATTAATTTAACACTAAAATTACACTGATAATTTTATTGTTTGAAAAGATGACACTGTAATTAGTATTGGTAGCATTATTGAAGTAACTAACGTTGTGAAAATTGTTACCGTAATTAGTTTTATTGTCGTAGTTAGTTTCATTACGATTTTAGTTGAGTACACAATTATCATCATACGTGTGTTTATTAAATTATTTTAAAAAATTGTAAATAAAAAACTGCTGTATAGCACAGGATTCTTACTGTTAGTTATAAAACCATTAGAAGCTAGAAATTCAATAAAAAAAATCAATAAAATTCTATAAAGATTATAGAACGTGACATGTGGCTTAAAAAAAAAGAAATTGTTTTCTGTGAAAAATAATGATTAAGTTAGTGAATTTTGAAAATTAAAAAGTTTAAAATATTTTAATTTATAAAAACTTAAGTAAAAAAATGAGAGTTAGATAATTTTAAATAAAAGGAAGATTAACATTAAAAACTAATTATTTAATTTTAAGATTAAAAATTATAATTAAAAAGAAAACTAAAGATGCTATCTATAATTTTAAGCAATGTAAATCAAACACTAAAAAGAAAAAGAAAAGCAATTATGCCTTGCCTAGTATTAATTATCGTAAGATGCATGAAAATCCATTTCCAGTGCAAAGGACATGTGTAATATGACATACTTTGCGATTTTAACTTTTTTTCTTGTTTTAGAACAAAGAAATATAAAATTAAATACGAACAAATTAATTATCCTTCATTTGGCGTATTTTAAAATTGATTGGGAACTTAAAAAATGACCCACACAGGTTTAATTCGATCTATACCTGAAAACATATTCAAAATTATAAAATAAGATTGAGTTAATTTATTTTATTGAGATTATATATAAATTGTACAGTATATGTTTTAAAACAAATAATATTAAATTTAAATAAAATATTATATTATGAAAAATATCATTGATTAATTTAATAAATCTTATTAGTAATTTATAATTTCTAAAATAAGTATAAATTTTGAAAAACAAATTTGCATCTATTTCTAAAATATATTTAGTCTAATTTTTTAAATTTAAATCTATTAACACTAACTTCTAATTTTTTATTTTATTCTATTTTTAATGTTATCTTAGTATAAAATATAATATATATATTTTATTATTTTATTTTAATAGTTCATATTCTTATCTTGATATTTTATTTTAATATTACTGTACATAATTTTTTAATACTAGTCAATAAACTATGTCATGCATCTATATTTTATTTTAAAATAAATATATATAAATAATTAAAGAATAAAATTTATAATAATTACATATATATATATATATATTTAACAATAATATTTTTAAAATTTATTTTTCTTTAATCTTATAATTACGAAATATAAAGTGATAAAAAAATTTATAAATATGAACATAAGTATTTATAAGAAATTTAAAAATTATATTAGGTAAAACAAAATTTAACACATATATAAAAGAATAATTATATTATTTAAATATAATTTTTATTTTATTCTATTAATTTTTATTTATTTTAAAAATTTAATAAAATAAATGTATTTGTCGTAATGTACGTCAAACAAATTGGTGTCCTAATAACATAATTTATCTTTATTTTATTTTATTACATTTTTATTTAACTCTCATATTTTATTATTTTTTATACAATTATATTTATTAAAAGAAACATTAATAATACATTCTCACTCCTAATTTAATATTTTTTTTCATATTTTAATTAATAAATTTAATATCTTTAATAAATTTTAATTAATAATAAAAAATATATTAAAATTATTAAAAATATATTGTTAGGTCTACCAAATGAGTCCAAATTACGCGGTGCACCATGAATTATGAGTTATCACGAAATCCGCATTTGTCTCTTAAATGAATTAGATTAAAACATTTAAAAAATAATAATTTTAATAGTTAGATTTTTAGGCTATTGAAAATATTTTTTAGGTCTAATTAGTTGACGTATTAATTAATAACAATAATATTTTAAAATTTATTGATTTATATATAAATATAGACCCAATCTTATAATAATTAACAAATAATTAGATAAAAAAAACTAATTTCTAAGCTTGAAAAGTCATTTCAAACCCAATTAATGCATGTGAGATCATCAATATATCTAACTTATTACTTTTTGTTGGAAATGATTATAAAAAAATGTTATTTTATTATCAAAATATTAAGAATATGTTATAATAAAAATGACGTATAAATAAGTCTGTTATTTTGATTTTTTTCGTCCCCACTTTAGTAAAAAGAAAGGAAAAAATATATTGAAACCTTTTTACCTCAAATTCTTTCATATGTTAGGATCGAGGAAGCTAAAATTAAATAAGAAATCCTATTAATTTTCTTTCTGCTATATTAAATATAAATAATTTATTTTAAAAAATATTAATAACATATCTTTATAATTGTTTTATTTTTTAAAATGAAATTATATTTATTTTTAATTTTTTAAACTCTTAGAAACATAGCAATCACATATTAAGAAATACATGACTAGCAATTTTATTTTCAAAATAAATTAAACTAACCATGTACGTGCCTATTACAATTTTAGTGAAGCATGGCCTATATAAAGTATCTAATAATATGTGTATTAAATCATTGTTTCTTTTAAATGTGGTAATGATGTAATACATATAATGTGAATAAAAATAGACGAGACAAAAGGTATATAACGAAAATGTGTATATATTATTAAATTAAGTAATAAAAGATGTCAAAATTTCATCATCTTAAATTCATTTTTTTCACAAAAATAAAATGAATTTATAATATCATGACATTTAAAATATGTAGTTATTATATTTTTAAATGATGCATTTACAATTTGTAAGTTAAATTTTTAAACCATTTTTATACAAAAAATAATTTAATTTATTTAATAACCAAAATATCTTATAAATTCTATAATGTTTGATGTTAATTTGTATATAATTGTTTGTAATGAGTAGAGTTTAATTTATTACAACTAAATATATGCGATAAAAGAATGATGAATAAAATTTGTTGACATTTTAAATAATTCTTAAATTATATTGATATTAATTTAAATTTTTTAATTTATAATAATTTTATTAATGATAATAGAATATAGGAGTATCTTTATTTCATAACAATAAAAATAACTGAAAATAAATTTCATAAATAAAAATTTCAACATATAAATTACGAATATGTACTATATTATTTACATTTCATGTGTACCATATTGCTATTAAATATTTGTAATTATAAAATTTGAAAAATTATATAATCACTTAAAAAGATTATGAGATGTATTAAAACATTAATATAACTTGTATATTTTTAAATTCATATAGTTATAATTACAAAAATAAAAATTTTAAATTCATATATAATATTAAAATATGTATCAAAGATTGGTTTAAAATCGTAGACAATTAGGTTGCTGAAAGGTTTTCTAATTGTAAGTAAGTAGAAGTATTACCTTGGATTTGAAAGTTGCAAGAAATTAGTAGGAATTCTACTCAATTGGGAGTAACAACATGTATTACGTAGGGTTTAAAAATTAAAGGTAATTAGTAGGAGTTTCTAAATTATAAGTCCTATAATTACTTGTAGTTGTCTAAAACTATAGCTAATACATTTGCAATGTATGAATTTTCTGTAAAAGAATCAATTATTGTGAATAATATTTACAACAAAAGTTTAAACTCTTATTAAAATTAATTCTGAATAAAACTAATTTTTTTAAATTTTTATTGTAGTTAAGTACAAGTGAAGAAGGTTGAAGAATTTGAACAATATATAAGTAACAAGAATTGAACTCAATAGCCTCAAGCTTTTGGGTTAAGTGTAGTATTCAACTCTACTTGTATAATTTACTTGTAGCATGTTGATAGAGATCTCCTCGATGTTTTAAACTTTGCCTCTCATTTGTCCTAACAATATTATCAAAAATAATAATTTATTAAGTAGCATGACCCGTTGCTACACAATAGCTCTAGTGATTTTATTACTATAAATATGTGGTTAAAAAAGTTTCTATTGGAGATGTTTAAAAAAAATGGAGAGACAGAGAGAGTTTACTTATTGAAAGAGATTTATATTTAGAAAAAGTTTGTTGAGATAAAGTATAAGTGAAGAAATCTTGAATAACATATAAATGACGAGGACTCACAATTCAATAACTTTAAGATTTTGAATTAGATGTGACATATAAGTTTGTTTTATGATTTACTCATTGTTTCTTGATGAAAATTTCTCTGATGTTTTAAGCTCTTTCATTTATCCAAATAGATCTAAAAGTATTTTCATTATGCTAAAAACTTATACTATTAGTAGAAGTGAAACTCCTAGAATAATTCATCCTACATTAAATGGAGATCTTTTTTTATTTTAGCTATTAGGTATAGTCTACTAAATTAAATTTAACCCACAGATTCATTATACTTTCCTAAGATCTTATTAACATATATATCATTTTCTCTGTATAACAGAAGATTCAAC